GGTTTGAACCAATCACCAATGGCCAATCATTTAATCCACCAGGCCTGTGTAATGAAGCCTCCATAAAAACCCAAAGGATGGAGTTCAGAGAGCTTCCCGGTTGGTGAATATTATGAGGATGCTGAGAGGGTGGCCCGCGTAGAGAGAACGTGAAAGTTCCACGCCCTATCCCCATACCTTGCCCTATGTATCTCTTCCATCTGGCTGTTCCTGAGTAATATCCTCTTATCATAAACCAGTAATCAAGTAAGTAAAATGTTTCTGAGTTTTGTGAGCTGCATTAGTAAATTAATCGAACCCAAACAAGGAGGAGGTCATGGGAACCTCTGACTTAGAGCCAGCCCGTCAGAAGCACAACCTGGACTCGCAACTGATGTCTGAAGTCCAAGGAGGGGTTCTTGGAACTCCCCCAATCTATAGCTGGTTGGTCAAAATCACAAGTGGCAACCTGGGCTTTCAACTGGTGTCCGAAGTGGGGGGTGTGAAGCAGTCTCATGGGACTGAGCCCTTAACCATTGGAACCTGATGCTATCTCTGGGCAAACAGTGTCAGAATTGAGTTGAACTGTGAGACACCCAACTGGATTCCTTGGAGAAATGGCTGTAGCAAGAAAAGTAGGAGAGCCTGGAATATCTTATATCAGAAAGTAAGAAAAGTGCTCAAAGAAGTTGGATTGGTGTCCAAAACACAGGAGTTGGCTTGAAGAAGCTTTGCTGGCCAATTCTGCATGAGAGGGGGTAAAAAGTGACCAGGAAGAATAATGATAATGTATTATAAAAAATTTAAAAAATCCACAAATCCATAGTGACTCAAAAAAGTGGGGGGTAGGCGGGGGGAGCTCCTATTTACAGAGGGATGCCAGTTAGTAAACAGAGATAATGGGTAATGATAAGAGTTGAGAAAAGCACAATTTTGCAAACACTGAAATAATTCAGGCAAGAATGATACTAAAACTACTGAGTAAAATGTTGATGTACATGATCTCAACAAATCACCCCAGGGATTTTGTTCATTACAAATGGAAAAGAGTACCAGTCATTGGTGAAACAGGGCAGACATCATGTTTACCAAGTGATCAAGTGTCACTTATTAATGTTAAAAACAAGACAACAGGCCCCAAATGGAGTCGCTTATGATAAGCCCCACACCACCACCAAGACTTAATTACAGTTTCAGCCTCTCTCAGAAATGGCATCTTAAACCAATCAGAAATCACCTGGTCAGCACTGGTGAAGTCATCTGCTTGAAAGAGCCTTGCCATCCCTAAATGAAAGTGACCTTGCCACAATCAATCCACTTTTTGCTAGCATAAATATCTTCCTTGTCCTGCTCCTTTCTGTCTATAAGTCTTTCATTTTATACAGCTCCTCAGATCTGTCTGCTAAATGGGACGATTCGTGAATCATTGAATAAAGGCAATAAGCTCTTTAAAATTTATTCGGTTTAACTTTTTTAACACCAACAATGCCTCCTGCTGTGATACAAGTTCTGCACTTTACATGTGTGCTGCCGAAAACCCTCAGCCTGAATCTAATCATGACTGAGTAACCAAAGAAATCAAGATTATGGGGTATTCTATACGGCAATTGGCCTGGACTACTCAAATTTAACAATGTCTCAAAAGACAAGGGCAGGGAGTGACTGGGAAGATTCTGAGGTCTGTTCTAGACTGCTGATGCAAAGTGCGACTCTAAACTGCATTAATGGGGGAGGGGTGTCTGTGGGTCCTATTTGGGACGATTGAGTAAATTTGAATATAAAGCATATATTGGCTAATAATTTTGAATCAAAGTTAGATTTCTCTGGTATCAAAATGGTACGTAGGTCGTGCACGATAACGCCTTTTTTGCTTGGGGATTCACGCTTAAGTATTTATGATATCTGCATCACTTTCAAACGGGACAGAAACAAGAACAGCGCCCAAGTACCGACACAAGGTTCGCGCGTGCGCACAGCTCTCTCCGAGACTTACTTCTCGAGGCAGGAGAGTCAGATTGGGTGCCACGAGGCGGAAATACGCAACAGGGGGGGTTCCGGTGACCGCGTAGGTTCCGGCGACTAAGTCGGCAAAATGGAGGAGGTACCTCACGGTGAGCTCGTGGAGGGGGCGTGGGTGGCGGGGCTGAAGGGACAGGAGCTACTCTAACTGCGATATTTTCTCTGCGTAGACTGTCCCGGGACCAGCAGCGCCCAGGCCGGCCGAGGGGCCGCATGTCAAGGGTGCCCCAACCAGCGGTTATGCGCTTCTGGAGCCGGTGCGACTCCTGACCCGGGTGAGCAAGGAACAAGCCCTGAACGGGAAGTGAAAGCCGTCGGCCCGGAAGAGGCGGGGCGGAGGAGCAAGTGGGTGGGGCTTGAAGGATGAGTGACTGCGGCTGGGCGAGGAGGCCAATTAGGAGAGGCGGGCCCAGAGGGGGCGCGGCGTGGTAAAGTCCGCCCAGAGAGGGGCGGGACTTGAATGAGTGACAGGGCTGGGGGCCAGCGGGGCAGAGTCCTTAAAGGGCTAGGAGTTAAGAGGCGGGATGGGGGCAGAGCCTGAAGGATCAGAGACTAAAGTGGAGTCAAAAGGGGTCTCCAGAGGGGCGGGGCATGGGAGCAAGTCCGCTGGGTTGAGAGGTAAGGCCAGAGGTTTGAGTGACAGTAACACACTGGTTGGCAGGAGGCCACCAGCAAAAGGAAAAGGATATAAACTTTGAAGTCTGGGAGTTTGGGTTTAAATCCTGGCTCCGTCAGCTACTTTCTTTGGACAGAATTTTCTTCCTTTTGAGGAGCGATTCATTCATTTAACAGCGATATGTGGTCGTGGACTAGGCACAGTGCTCTGTGCTGGGGATACAATTGTGAAAGACAGATGAGGTTGCTGCTCTAGAGGGTGTTAGTTTAATAGGGGAGACCCACAATAAACAAGTAAGCAAGCAAATGAATCCTCACTGCCATAAGGAAAATGAGGGACAGATTGGAGGATGGGAGGACTCTGAGAACCTACTAAAAGGAACTTGAAAAGCAGGAGGCTGGGAGGAGACTCTTGAAGTTCAAAGAGAGACTTGGATTTGATTCTTGGATCCCACAGTGTGACCTTGAGCAAGAGTCTTAACCTTTCTAGTCTTTGTTTCCTTATCAATAATGGGAAGAAAAATACTTACCTCCATGTTGTTTGAAGGATTTGAAATAAGGCGAAATAGTGAAAGCACCACAAATGTATAATAAGTGATAGTCATCAGTGACAGGTACTTATCAAGTGCCTGCTGTTTTGTCAGGATTTCTCAACCTCTGTTGACATTTGGAGATGGATAGTTCTGTGTGGTTGTGGGGGGCTGTACTAAGCATCATTGGACATTTAGTAGCATCCCTGACTTCTACCCACTACATGCCAGGAGCACCCCTTCCTTGTACAAACCAAAAATGCCCTCAGACATCACCAAATGTCCCTGGCAGATTTGTCCGCAGGTTAGGAATCATGGCTACAGTCATGCACTGCATAACGATGTTTCAGTGATGGACTGCAGATATGACAGTGGTCCCATAAGATTAGAAGGGAGCTGAAAAATTCCTATTGCCTAGTGACGTAGCTGTCCTAACTTTATAGCACAAAGCATTACTCACATGTTTGTGGTGACACACAAACCTATTGTGCTGCCAGTCATATAAAAGTACAGAACATACAATTATGTACAGTATAATACTTGGTAATAAATACTTGTTACTGGTTTAGGTATTTACTACTGTATATTATACTTTTCATTATTTTAGAGTATATCTTTTCTACTTATAAAAACAAGTTTGCTGTAAACAGTGAGTCGCGTTACACAGGCAGCAAGCAGCCTCATACATCTCGTGTTTATCTCTTGATTATCGTCTTCTCTTGTGCTTGAATTAATCTCGTGGTGTTTCATACAGTAACATGCAGTACAGGCCTGTAACCTGGGAGCAGTAGGCTGTACCATATAGCCTAGGTCTGTGGTAGGTGACACCATCTAGGTTTGTGTAAGTGCACTCTATGATATTCACAGGATGAAATTACCTAACAACGCATTGCTCAAAATGTTTCCCTGTCATTAAGTGGTATATGACTTTATGTGCAAAGCTCTGTTTTGGAGCTGGGAATAAAGTGGTGAACATGACAGTCCCACCCCCATGGAGCTTATATTCTAGTATGAGGAGACAGATACGTAAACCAATAAATAAGAAAATATCAGATGTGATATAGCCTTATTTTCTTTGTAGCACTTATTAGCACCTTTGACTAGCTGGTATTTCACACACGATCCCTTGAAATAGCCCCGAGGACTTAGCTCCTTCTAGCCCTCTGAAAGAGTGACATTTGGGATTTAGTCAGGGACATCACTACCTGAATTGCTTTTTTTTGCAGCTATAGAGGAAATCAAAGAGAAAATGAAGACTGTGAAGCACAAGATCTTGGTGTTGTCTGGAAAAGGCGGTGTTGGGAAAAGCACCTTCAGCGCCCACCTTGCTCATGCCCTAGCAGAGGATGAAAACACGCAGGTGGGACCTTGGGAAAAATTGGGAGAGGCTCCTGTCTGAGGGTTCACGATGGCTCGTAGAGAAACGACTCCTTAGACCAAGTTGAATTGGACTCTTTGACTCTAGATCCTTGCACAGAGGAGGAAGCACATAGCAGTCAAGCAGTGAAATAAAGTATTTCATTGGATTCTCTAGCTATGAAAATGGATAGCAAGTATACCTTTCTCTTAGCATGCAGATTATTTATTATGTTAAGTTCAGACTTCTTTCACTTTATTAACCCCTTCCTGCCTTTTTCTATGCCAGGGGTCTTGCAAACTATAGCTCATAGCCAAATCCAGCCTGTCTCCTGTCTTTTTATGGCTTGTGAGCTAAGAATGATTCTTACACTTAAAAATGGTTGCTTTTAAGTTGTCACATAAGTACCCACATAGTATCCTTGATTTTGCCCACAAAGCCTAACATGTTTTTTATTTGGCCCTTGAAGAAAACAGTTGCTGTCCCCACTCACTTCTCCTGAGGTACACAGATGAGCAGGAAAACTCAAAGTACCCAGTGCTGCTCTCTGGTCTCAGGTTTAATAAAAAGTGTGATAAGGTAAGGCAGACTCTACCAAAAAAAGGTCAAATGGAAATATGCAGTATGTGATTTTTAAAGTACATTAGGTTATTCAGTGAGATTCATGATAATTTTGTTTGGACCTTAGCAAATGATCCCAAAAGTCACTGTGATTATCATTTTATACCACATAAAACCATGACTACTGCAGGTTTCAGATTTTTATTGTTGTTGTTTTTAACATGCAATACATTCCACCTTTTTGTTTTTTTCCAAAATGAAATTTTGCTCAAGATTCCTATTAAAATATATGTATATACATATCAGAACTGCTACAGTGGCAAGGGTTAACCCAACTCAGAACCCAACTGCCCAGCACATGGACCCTTGAAATGAGAGACCTCGCTGAGGACTTGTGAGTTGGCGCTGTGTGTGCTCTGGATTAGAGAGCCTGCGAGTCTCTTTGAGTTGCAAACTCAATGCCGTTTTCCCCATCAGCACTACTGGGGGCATGCAGAAGAGTTCTCTAACATAGAAACAATTTTATATTGTTCATGGTAAAAGCCATTCCTTACCATTTCAGTTCATTCCATGGTCTTCGTGTGTGCCTTCTTTCGTGCACTGATTTATTTCTGAAAATAAGTTTTCTCTTTATGCACTGTGAATATTGAAAGTTATTTTCGTATATGAGGGCTAACACTTTCACTTCACGTTTCTTTTCTAACTCATTGACAAATGGCCCTCCACTTTTGTTTGACCTTAGTTTTTTAAAAAGGTAGTGGTAGAAGGGACTGTAGAGGTATGTTTAATATTGAAATTTCAAACACATATTGCCTCTTATATTTTAAAACTCTAAAAACCTGGATAAATTTCAGTACTTTCTACTTGTGTGAGATAACTCATTCTACCTCCATGTGAAATAGCACCCTCAAATGTTAATATGATAAAGACTTTATTTCCTCCACACACACAAAATTAAAGCCCGCTACAGTGGGCAGGGGTGATCAAGCCCACCATACTTACATACCTTCTGTACGCACGCACGCACGCGCGCCCCGAGACACCTTGCCAGTCAGTATCCACGAACTCCAGGATTGGATTAAGAAATCAGAGTTTGCTTCAGTTGATAGCAAACTTTTTATGTAAAACCTAGATGGTAAATATTTTAGGCTTCACAGGCCAGACAGTTTCTGTAGCAACTATTTGGGTCTGCCCTGTAAACTATGTCCATGTTCTAATAAAACTTTATTGTCACTGAAATTTGAATTTTATATAACTTTTCACATCATGAAAGAAAAGTATTCTCTTGATTTTTATTTTCTCCACTCTCTGAAAATATAATAACCATTTTCAATTTGTGGGCTGTACAAAAACAAGTGGCAGGCTGGATTTGGTCCCCAGGTTGTAGTTTGCTGGCCCTGTGTTTGGTTCGTAACACCAGCATCACCAGGGCTAGCTGGAGAAGGGCATTTGGGAAGATTGGAACCTTGGGCAGGCCACAGCCTTCTTGGGACAGTGAAGAGGCTGGACTAGGTGATCTACAAACCTCAGTGTTCATTCACTAAGGCTCTGAATTCTTATTCCTCATTTCTCTTAAACATTTTATAACATATGGAGCTGCTCTCACTGGCCTACGTGGCTGACACAGGCCTCTCTGGAATCTGATATTCACCATCCAAGATGTGGTCTAGGGATTTCAGGAAAGGGAGAGATGACCGAGGGGACACCTGGGATTGGAGAAGGGGCCCTCTAGACTGTGATGGTGACTAACGAATGTGGAGTGGTGGGTGGAAGCAGAGGCACAGATGTGGGACCACCAGGGCAGGCAAGCTGCGGACTGCTCCAGTGAAGAGAGCCAAGGAAGAGGCTGAGGCGGACCGTGGAGGCTTTGGACGACCTGGTCAGACATCTGGACAGGAAAGAGGCATGATTCAGGCATTGCTTTAGAAGCATCGCTGTGACAGCTAGCCAGATGTGTGGTTGAGTACTGTTAGAGGGTGATGGTAAGCCAGCCAGGAGGTGTTGCTCATTCTCCCTGAGAGGCCACAGGTTCAGACTAGGGCAGTGGCTGGAGCAGATGGCAGGGAACAAATGAGGGCATCGTTGCGGAGATAGATAGAAGAAGCGAGGCTTCCCAATTTGGGAAGACGAGGGAAGTGCCAGAACTCTACTTGAGTCCTAGGGGCGGGGTGGCAGGCGAAGTCGAGCCTGGTGGCCAAGGAGTTGGCCTGCACAGGTCCACGTCCCAGCTCGACCCACACCACTGCTGTAACCTTGGGTGGGTTACAGGCTCTCTCTGCCTCGCTTTTCTCAGCTGTAAAACGGGACTCCGGACTGAGTGAGATAATTCCTGTAAATATAAAGTGCTTAACATGGTGCCTGACATGTAGTAAGTGCTCAATAAATGTCCTTGATAGCAATCATCATTATTACTGGAATATTTAACTGGAATATGGAGGGGCAATGACATTTCTGCTTTGTGATAATGAGTTTGTAGCCTGCCCAGAGTACAGTGCTGAGCGGGTTCAAAATATACTTGCCGATTCTGTTAGTCAACAATCACTTGCTATTCGAGTCAGATTTGTAATGGCCAATTGGCTGGCCAAGAAATCTGTTTTCTCAGATTATCCAGATGACCCAGAATAATTGTCACTTTTAGAGCTATCCGAGATCTCTGGAGATAGGCTTTAACCAGGCCAGTTGCAAGTAACCACTTGTGAATAGACAGCTGTTTACAAATAATTGCGTTTGGAAGTCCCCGCTGCACACATGTCTAGACTTTGCAGTATGCTGAAGGAAAGCACACCGTCTAGTGTGGAAATATGGCTGAATGAGCAGGCTCTCTTTATGTAAAAAATATGTCAGCACTCAGGAGAGTGTGTTTCCCCTTGCAGACATACTGATGACTGAATACTTGTCTCCAAAAGCTGCACAGAGTCGGCCCATAGTAGATGCTCAGTGTGTCTTGTTGATTACAGTCAAGTCGCACGCGTCTTCCGAGGACAGTGGGAAGCTCCCTGTCTTTTTTCTGCCTGCTGTCTGGCAAAGCTCAGGACGAACTCTGAGTGAGGCTGTTCATTTTAGCCCTCAAGATAGGCAGGTGTCTGACAGCTCATTTGCAAAGGGCCTTGAATCAAGAGGCAGCAGAATTGGGAAACACCCCTGACGAGTCACGGGCAGGCTGGGAAATGTGTGAGTTGTGGTGAAGGGAGGCGGAGGAGCTTGAGCCGTGAGACATCAAAGAAGCACATGCCATCTTGCCACCACAAAAGTCACCAGCTCCCATAAATTACCAGCTTATCCTCTTGCCTTGTGATCTGAGGTGAAGTCTATCCTTAAAAGGTCCGCACGAGGTACTTTAGGGCAATAGACTTGTTAGGCCTGTCTCTGGGGCTTAGAGACTGTAAAGCTGGGCAGGAGAGGTGTGGTAAGCCCTCCTCTTGCCATCAGGCTTCTAGCACCTTCCACAGAGTCCATGGCGAGGATTAATGCAGGCACGTTTCTCTTAGCTAGGGTTCTCTGACTTAACCTGAGCAGAAAATGAATTGGACAGATATTGGGGATAGTGACAGGATCAAGAGGAAGTCTGGAAGAGACGGGACACCGGGCCACTGTGGAGATCTGGATAGCAGGAACGCGTCACAGCCTTTTTGGGTACCACCCTGCGAGCGAGTGCATGTAATCTGTTTCTTGAATCCTGGCATCTCATTTCCCTCAAGATTCACCCCCTTGTGGGAAGAGTAATGCCTCAAAAGGAAACTGATTAAATTGTTCCCAAAAAGAACGTGGAGACCAGGCTAGAAATTTGAGAGTATTAACGAAAGTCTCCGTTAGGGTCGTAGTGATGGCATAATTTCCTAAATCGTGAGGCTCCGATGTAAAATGTCTATATTAGCACACATCGGTCCCCAAGAGTCTAGATCAAGGCGGCCAAGAAGTCAGGTTGTCAAGTTGTGTCTTCCTGTTGCACTCCTCGCAGAGTCCAGCAGGGGGCATGCGAGGCAAACGGCTGGTCTCCTGTGTAAACAGCTTTCCTGAGGGTGACACCATGCGAGGAAGTAGGTTGGGGTTTGCTAAGAGGCTTGAGGAGGGAAGCGAGAAGCGAATTTGGGGCAAGTTGAAAAGTTACCCCAAGGCGCTGCACTTTGGATCAAAGACTTTAGAGCTTTCAAGATGAATACAGCAGGCTCCCATACAGATGGCTCCCAAAGGCCATCTCACACCTCAGCTATCACACGGGGGACCAGGGTGTTTGGGGTGAGGGAGTCACCCCAGGCTGCTCTTACCACTAGCAAGGAGCTTTGCTAGATTTCCTTCTTATATTCAGTTTCTTTTCTGGAAGACGACCCTAAGTGATCACTAACCTTCAGGATCACAGGGGAGTGGGGCTTGGTCAGCTGGAGGGTCCACTCTGCCATCCTCACCAGGCCCCATAGGGTAGTGAAAAGATGACCACCGTTTATGTCTTAGCTCTGCCCTTTGCTCATTGAACAAGTCACCGGGCCCCTCTGAACCTCAGTTTCCTCTTGTGCAAAGCAAAGATAGTGATGCCCACCCCAGGCACATGGTAAGGGCCAAGTAAACGCTACCAAATCCTGGATTTCCGACGACCTGACACCCAGGTCCATGAGATCCCCCTGGAGCCAGGCCAGACTTGGGGCAGGGGTGTCGACGTACTTTCCTAAGTTCTCTCTAGGTGTCTCGGGCTGAGTGTCTCATGGCCAGAAAGAGATATGTTGTAACTCTGCTCGGTCTACGCTGGACCCCATTTCTTCCTGTCTTCTCCCCTCCCTCCTTTCCCTCGAACCCTGTGCCCCTCCCAGCTGTACATATCTGGAGGATCGTGTGTTCAGTTATGTCACTGCTCCGGTCTCTTCTCGTTCTCGTTCCCCAGGTTGCTCTTCTAGACATTGACATATGCGGGCCGTCAATTCCCAAGATAATGGGGTTAGAAGGAGAACAGGTAAGAGCTGTGTGATAAATCGCAGGAAAGTGGTCTCTTAGGGCAAACGCAGTGCTAAACTACTCAGCCTGAACAAAGGAGTCAGCAGAGCCCATGCTTCTTATATGTGGACAGGAGGAAACCAGGTAAATGTCCGCTAGTCCATCGGTCCATTTTAACAACAGCCATGAATTCGAGGGGCGGGAATCTATAAAGTTCATCCCAACTATATGAGAAGTGTTGGTTTCGATGCTTTCCCAGAGGGGAAGGGAAACAACAAGTAAAATGCAGAAGTTAGACAAGGAAACTTAGCTCTGACTGGGAAAACTAGAGGAGGGCTGGCTGGGGTTTTGTACCCTGGATGCGAGGGTATGTTCCTGCCTTGTGGTCATCTCTGGGGAACTGAGACTGCGAAGTGGGCAAGTGACGTGGGCTAGGGGCATGGCCACAGCAGCCTTTGCAGGTTCTGGTCTCTCCCTTCTGAGTAAGCAAGAAGCAGGCCAAGGAATGGTGCATTGAAGCTGGGCTGGAGGACAAGGCTGTTCTTCCAGGGGTGTCAAGATTGGTTCAAGACTGGCACTGTACTCTAATGCCAGAACTATTCTGGGTGCTGGGGTACAGTGGTGAACAAGGCACTTGTGGAAAGGGACAGATGATAGATAATAAAAAGCTTTGTAACACATGCCCACGCTACATTTATTTACTTGTAAGTTACATACATAGACTACTTACTGTACCAGTATATAAACAGTTTATAAAAGTCAAAAATTTTAAATGGTGAGATAAAACAGAATTTCTACTATTTTATTCTCCTACACTATTCAGTCATCTTGTTTACCCTTCTTCTAAGACCAGTGACTTAAAGAACGAAGATAAGTAGGAATGAATGGGGGGTCTTTAAGTGAGACCTCAAAGCCAGTCACAAAGGGCCATATATGATATGATTGCATTTCTATGAAATGACTGGAATGGGCACATCTGTAGAGGCAGAGAGTAGATCCATGGTCACCTAGTACTGGAAGGAAGTGTAGGGATTGGGGGTGACAATTAAGAGGTGCGGGGTGTCTTCTTGGAGTAATGAAAATGTCCTAAAATTGATTATGATGATGGATATATAATTATGTCTCTATTCTGAATTGCATTGTACACTTTAAATAGGTGAACTGTGTGATATGTGAATTATATCTTAGTAGAGCTATTTTTAAAAGTAAGACTTCATTAAGAAAAAGAGACTTTCTCTTTTGGCTCCTACATTGCTCTGATTTCTAAGATAGATGCGTAATTGGGAGTTGCTTAGGTCATAGCTTCTTAACAAAGGGATGATGCCGAGATTAACCCTGGCTATCAGTGAACTGATAGCCAGGTGCTGTATCACCCCTGGCTCATTTTCAGAGGCAACCTCGCTGCTCCATTACCTGCATTTTCCCAACAACCCCCAGCCGGTACCTATCACTCTTTGGAAGTACCTCAGACCCCAAATTATATTTGACCTCTGGTAACTCCAGTTCCCTGACTAGATGTCTAAGTAGAGTTTCAAAATAACCCAACTTGGGGGCGGTTATTGAATTACAACTTCCGTCCCTGCCCCGCCCCCCCCCCGCCCCCTCAGTTCACTCCCGATTAAGAACTTAGCGGTAGCATTGTAGGCAATGAACTGTATTTGATAAAACTGTCTTCTTACTGCATAAAATTTGTGCGTGAAGCGTGACCAGGGGGCAGAACTTGCCAATGACTCTCGATGCCCGTGTTCCCGCAGGTTCACCAGAGCGGCTCAGGCTGGTCTCCAGTGGTGAGTCTTCACTCTCTGCCTTATTTGCAAGGTGGCGCATTATGGGCCATGTGCACATGACGTATATGTGGGGCAGGGGAGAGGGGAGCACTGTTCTCAACCCACCTGTTTGTCAGTCAACAGATACTTATTGCAGAACTTTTCTAGGCACAGGGAATACAGTGAAGGCCAGGGATTGGCAAACCATTTCTGTGAAGAGTTGACAGTAACTATCTGCAGTTTGTGGGCCATACACTCTCCGCCATTGTAGCTTGAAAATAGTAATATGTAAATGAATGACTATGGATTTATTCCCGTAAAACTTTATGTACAAAAACAGATAGCAGGCCAGATTAGCCCTGGCGGCCATAGTTTGCTAACCCAGGTTAAGACAGTTAAGGAGATGATACTCATTTATTTCAGCCAAGTTGGCTGTCATTGCAGCTTACGGCCGCATGGTACTTCTTTCTGTCTCCTCAATATGATACCCCTTTTTTTTCCAAAAATGATTTGATGATGCAAAGAGTGAATATGCTCATAGATCACATAGTCATCTTGTCCCAGAAATGGCTTTAAGTAAAATGTTTCTTGCCTCATCCTCACCAGTTCCCAGAAGACAACCTGGGGGTGATGTCGGTGGGTTTCTTGCTCAGCAGTCCTGATGACGCCGTTATCTGGAGGGGACCAAAGAAAAATGGTTTGCCACTCTGCTTTCTTCCCTTTATCGCGTTCTTCCAAGAGCAGAGCTGCTCTGAGTTTCCTTTGCATCCTTAACTGTCAAGAAGGCTCCGTAGAGCAGTTTTAAACATCTGTCTCATTGCCTGTTTCTTCACTGGTTGAAGGTAGCTAGTAAGAATATCAGTTTTTGTTTCACAAATATTAATATCTACTATGGGTTTTTCTCTCCGCAAAACCTACACAATCCTGAAATTATTCATGTTGTGGTTTTGTAGTGGCTTATCTCTGTCGGAGAGAAAAGTGTGTGAGGCGACATCAATACCAGGTTGACTGGACACTGAGGCCTAGGGTGACAATGCAGAAGTGTCAGTTAGGGCAAGGTTCCTCACACTCGGCACTATTGACATTTTGGGCCAGACAATTCTTTGTCAGGGGAGGGGTGGGCCATGCTCTGCTGTAGGGGTACCCCTGGCCTCCGTGGGCTAGATGCCAGTAGGACTCCCATCGTAGTCATGGTGACCAGAAAAATCTCCAGATGGTGCCGAATACCCCCGATTTGGAGTATAGACCAAATGTACATAAAGATTACAAACTATGCTTCAATAGGAGATCTAGGAAAAGGGAAGAGACGTCAGTGTAGATTCTTCTTCTCAGGCATGATCAAGCAGTTCCTCCGTGACGTGGACTGGGGGGAGGTGGACTACCTCATCGTGGATACCCCACCCGGGACGTCGGACGAGCACCTCTCGGCCGTCCAGTACCTGGCCGCGGCACACATTGACGGGGCGGTGATAATCACCACCCCTCAGGTGAGTGAGTGCCCAGATGGAGCTGGGTCCAAACCACACCGCGTGGGGCCGTTTCATCCTCACAGGGCTGAGACCCTGGGCTCAGAGCAGATCCCCAGAACACGTGCTCTGAAGCAGACACTGATTGGATCTGCGGACACTTTGTTTATCTTTGGTCCAGGCATTTTCGGTTAACAGTTGGGGTTGTTTTTGGTCCAGTAGCGGTTCGGAATTATGTTTTTAATTTCCCTTCGCAAAGCCAACGAGATGGTTGGTACCGTGATCATTCAGACTGTCCCTCGTGGTCACCTCATTCTCACCGTGCCCACGCGTGGAAGAGCACAGCAGGCCCCCAGAGTCTGCAACGCTCCTTCCATTTGCATTTCAGAGCAATTAAGGAGTCTCTACAGACCCAGCCTGGGGCATAGATGGGGATTTCGGGGTAAGCCCTTCTCTGGTCCTTAATAGCGTCTTCTGTGCCAGTCACAAAGAGGCTGTAATACGGGGCCCTGCTAAACCCAAACTCAGTAACCCGGCAGGGAACTATGTGGCCAGATCCGAGACGTGCTTTGGTGTTACCTGCCATCGATCTTAAGGTGTCCCAAGCAACCGGCAGGTGACTCTCTTCAGTTACACCTCTGTTCACGATATTCTTTTTCCCCTAAGAAGCACAATATAAAGGGGGTTTGTCTTGATCTGTCTCTGAACCAGTCAGTACGACCCCTTGTCCTTCACCCTCACTGAGGACCTACTATGCGCAGGCCCTGGGCTGGGCATCAGGGCAATGAAACAGACTAGGCCTCCCTCATGGCTCATGCACTTCACCGAAGAACTCTGGTGCTGTAGACACAAGCACACGCTTGACGCCATGTCCGCTGTGTGACAGGCGCAGCAGGCCACATGAAGGTGCCTCGCATGGGGAGTGGTGTGTCACCTCACTCTGGTGCCCTGTGGAGGGAGATGTTGAGGGTATGTGGAGGAGCAGGACAGCACTTAGGTGGCTAGAGACAAAGGGCACCTGACTGGGGTGTGGCTGTGGGAGATGGATTTGTCCTTGGGAGTGTTTTCTATTGAATTTTTAAAAAGTAGTTGCGACTCACTCTGGACCAGCAGAACTATCAAGAGTAGGTCCCAACGAAATTACCTAAAAGGAAAAGGAAAATTAGTTGGAATGTACCACTTGGGATCTCGACAGTGGGGAATATTTTGTGTGTGTGGAAGCAAGGGGCATATGGGAAGTCTCTGTACTTTCCACTCAATTTTGCTGTGAGCATAAAACTGCTCTAAAAACGGACCCTTTAGAAACAACAACAAAAATGTTGCTGGCACAAAGATGGCTCATCTAATACTGCCCTTGTTGTGAAAGGGAACATGGCTCCTCCTAGGCATGACTCCACTGCCCGTGACGACGGGAAGCTAGGACGCACTTGACTGCAATAACGCTAGGTGGGCAGGGGAGAGGGTACCAGACAGCGACTACAGCCCTCACACCGTCAAGCGCGTGTTCAGATCGGAATTGACTTTGAAGCTGTCCAAAGGTGGCGATATTCCCGTTTCTCTCTGTCCATAAAGTTGTTTGTGTTCACGATCATCTAGACCAGAGCTTAGCAAACTTTTTCTGTAAAGGCCCAGATAGTACATTTTTTAGGCTTTAGGGATCATATAGACTCTGTCATCGCCACTCACCTGCACCATTGTCGGATGAAAACTACCAGAGACAACATGTAAAGGAACGGGCTGTGTTCCAGAAGCACTTTACAGAAACAGACGGGCAACTAGATGTGGCCCACAGGCCTTAAGTGGCTGTCCCCTGACCTAGAAAACAGTGTACACTTTGGCTCAACATAGCGTGTTGACAAGAAAGCAGACATCGAGGTATATTAAAAATCACTTTTCTATAGATTGATCGGACGTTTGATATGTGGCTATTCAGGTTTATCCTGGCACCCAGAACAGGGAGGGCTTAGCGCGTGGTTGGCACTAAAAAATTACTTACTGAATAGAAGGCACACACCTCTAGGGCTCTATGACAGTAAATCCGCTGGCACAGCAGCCACCCCTCGACCACTCAGACATTCTCTTTCTTGTACTTTGACTTTGAGACAACTGGTCTTTTGAACCTCGTTAGGAGGTGTCGCTCCAGGATGTCCGGAAAGAAATCAACTTCTGCCACAAGGTGAAGCTGCCCATCATCGGGGTGGTGGAGAACATGAGCGGTTTCATCTGCCCGAAGTGTAAGGTGAGCGTATCTTCCGACCAGCCCCTTCTTCCTCGGTGGAGGAGCTAATAGGAACAGTTCTCTGTGAAACTGGTTCTGCTTTCCCCGGCATTTCTGGAAGTGGGGTCACGATTAAAACCTCCTATTGCTGATTTAATAAAAATTCTTTTGGTAGCGTTTCACATTCAAAATAGGGATTTTTTTTTTTTTTAAGTTTCTTTAAAATGTCCATTCTCGTGATTCTGAAACAAAATCACGATTCTTCCCCCATTTCTTATGCCTCACAGAAAGAGTCTCAGATATTCCCGCCAACGACGGGGGGTGCGGAAGTCATGTGCCAGGATCTGAAGATCCCTCTGCTCGGCAAAGTGCCTCTGGACCCACACATAGGTGGGTGAGTCCAAACTCTAAACACCTCCATCCCGTCATCGAGTGGGGGCCTCCACACCCCGCTCAGCTCCGACCTCAGGGCGGAGGGGAGCCTGGGTTGGGCGTGGCAGAGTGGAGCAGAGATTGGTCAGGGATTGGCCAGGGTGCAGGGAAAGGAACAAAGTGGCCGTTGGGAGACTGTTCTGGGACCTGTACTTCCCAGACCTAGTCCAGCTACCCCGGACTCAGGGGCTTCCGTAGCTGCTTCCACCACGTTCCCACGGTAGCCCCACCTCTGCTACCCGCCTCTCTGGGCTCCTTCCCTCGCTCTCACTCGGGTTTCCGTGTCCCACAGGGCAGTGCATTAGGGGAGTCGAGGAAACAATAGTTCCACAGTTGGCCTCACCAGTGTCCACCGAAGGCTGGGGAACAGCTGTGGGTGGTGGACCTGCTGAGGCTGCTTCTCCGGCAGCGCTCAGCATCTGGGGAGCAGGGGTGGAGAAGCTGACCGCAGGGGTCTACTCAGGGCAGAGCAGACGGAGGCGGTGAGACCACCACCCGCCCGCTGGGGCAGGCTCCCTGCCTCCTGCTCACCTGGACGCTGAGTTGACATGTGGTCCTAGAGATGGCCTTCGTGTCCATAGGAGGGCACCGGAGTGGACAGTCTTGGGAAAGACTAGCAGATGGATCGATACCAATGTGGAATGAATGACCTTCAAGATGAAATGACGGAAAAAGCGATGGGCAGAACGTGTGTACTATATGCTCCCATTCATTCTTTTGTTTTTTAAGTATATGAGTATGTATGTGGGTATATATGCCACACATCTCTATGCATGTATTACTTCTAGAAAAACATCTGAAACACTGGTAGTCTCTTTCGGACTCACCTTTCAGGGTACAACCTTTTGTATTCCATGCTTTTTTACCATGTGCACTCATTATCTTTTACTCAATAGAACTAATTAATCTTTTTAAATGCGGGTTCCTGGGCCCACCCAGGAGTGCTGAATCCGTTCTTTGTGGGGCTCTGGAGCCTGCGTCTGCCACACACCACCCAAATGATTCATAGGCACACACACGAAAGACCACTGACCAGGCAAGGGTCAGAGCCACATCGAAATGCTAGCCAGGGTCCCTGCTGGATGGAGGGGAGGTCCTCTGAGACCCCTGACACT